CTCCTTGGGCAGATGGATCGGTGCTGAGGAGCACTGACTAATTGAGCACATATACAATGGATTGGGATAGTTGGGGTAAAAGGCTAATCTCATTGATAGATGAGGTTTTTATGCAAAAAAATTAGGTGACACGTTTTCTGCTGTGCCAGCAGGAGGATCTATAGAACAGCCTATAGATAAAGGTGTGCATACAGCAGAGACTTTGTCTGTGACCCACAAAAGTGATGTTGGCATGGAGTGTCAAAATGATGTTGTCACTGGGAATGATCGGGGGCAGCTTGTGGATGCTGAGTCTGAGATGTTGAGAGTGAGCCCAGCACATGGCAGCGCTCTGGTGGAGCACCAGGCTTTGGTCACCTCCAGCTCTGAGGAGGTCCCTTTAAAAATTTCAACTTCTCAAGTCTCAGCAGGTGAGTCTCTCAGCATTCCCAGTGCCCTAAATATGGTCAGGAAGGTCTTAGGTTTAGAGTCAAGTGGTTGGGTTGTAACCAAAGTTTTAAAGGAGATGCTTGAACTTTGGAATGTACAACCAATGTATACTGGGGTGTTTCCTCCACAGTCTGATGGTCTGGTACTGCGGAGTACCACTAGGTGGAGCACCGAATGGCTGGCTGTACAGATCAAAGGGAAACAAAGTTGTTTGTTTCGGAATTTGTTGATGGTGTTAAAAGTTGTATCAGGGTATGCCGCTGGACTACCTGTAAATTTATTTGAGAAGTTTTGGAGAAATGGAAAATGAGTCAAAGGTTTCACCTCCTAACAGCCAGGTGGGAAGCATTTCTGCTGCTATGGTCCAGGATGGTGCTGGTCACTTGTCAGTGAAGGGTGTGTTTACTGCAACAGTGGACAAACCACATGAGATGGAAGGGCCGAGCATGGACCAGAGAACAGCAGAGATCCTGACCAGGGCTCAAACGGATGTGTATAAAGAAATCCGGGTCATTGGGCCAAAAAGAGGTTTATGTAGCAGTTCTGATAAGACACCTAAAATACAGGGAGAAATGGTATGTGAAAACTGGCAAAATAGATCAAAAGAATGCTCATCTGTACCGGGTTTGGATACAGATCCAAGTGGCGTAGGAAAAGTTAAAATGGTTGGACAGCCGCCTGCAGAGTGCATGACACAGGTGAAGTGGCATTTTGTGAGGTTCACGTGGGTGATGGCTGCCCTATGGTGTGTGTGTGTGTGTGCCCTCTACAGACACTGTCCTAACAAATGCTGGAAAAGATATTGAAAGGTGTAATATTGACTGGAATAAAACCGTTCATGGTAAACTGAATGCTGTGGTAATGAGTCATGCAGGTTTGATAGCTAGAGGTACAAGAAATCAGGGGGGTGGTCCTGGTACAAATACAGTAGAAATAGTTCTCCTACAGCCTTGGGACAGGAATACTGAGAGAGGTATTAGGAAACCTGATCACCTGAAGCAAAGGGGCAGAAAGGTCAATAGAAAGGCCAGGGGGACCCCGTTAGGATTTCAAGAGAGAAAGTGTTTATGGAAATGCACCCGGAAAAAGAGTAGGGAATGTCTGAGTAGAGCCCATAGCAGAGTGACAATGGGGCTTGGGGAGAGACCCCAAAGGAATCATTGGGTAGAGTTCCCCTTTAGGAAAGGTATGGTCAGACCAGATTGGACCCCTGTAAGTGAAAGCTGGCACAGAGGTGCCGGAAGATATATGTTGTGTGTTCTCCCCCTACGGGGTCAAAACAAAGGGGGGGGGGATATGTGACAGTGTGGCGATCTGTCACCCTGGATTCTCAACAAGGCAGGTTGAGGGGCTCCAGGGTAAAGGTTTGATATGGAGGAAAGTGGCTTTTCACTTTCCTGCTTTGTTTGTAAGGTCCATTTTGGGATCTGGAACCTGGAGATTTCGAAGTGATTTGGGAGGGATGAAATCTCCAATCCTGGGATCAGGTGTTGGAATAGGCCAGGATACTGATTGCACAGGTGTGTGCAGGCCTTTAGATAGAGTCAGGACCAGGGTTCTGGGCTCCACCCCGGCAGATAGGAGTCAGGAGGGCTCCACTTGGAAGACAGGAGGTCACTGCCTGGAAGTCAGGTGGGCTTCACCTAGGAGAGGTGGAAGCAAAAAGCAGCAAGGGGCTGCTAGAGACTAGCTGTGTGCTAGTGGCCAGCTGTGAGCAAGAGCCATAATTCTTTAAGAAGTCTGCAGGAGGCAGACATCAAGCTGAGTGTAAGCCAGGAGGCTGAATCATTGTTTTGTTTGATGGTGGATACCCCTGCGTGGGAAGCTTTATGTTCTGGGACATTTTCTGTAAATAAAATTGGGCAAAAAGGCCCTTAAAGAAAGCGAGTTGCTGTGTGCGTTAACAAAGCTCTACCACTTTGCAGCGAGTTCCCACAATATATATATATATATATATATATATATATATATATATATATATATATATGTAAATGCACGGTGTATGTATGTAATATAAAGTATTCAAACCCCCTTCACGCTTTTCAATTTTGTTATGTTGTAGCCTTATACTACAGTTGTTTAACAAATTTTTTTTTTTTTCCTCATTAATCTACACTCAGTATCCCATAACGACAAAGTGAAAACAAGATTTTAGAAATGTCTGTTAATTTATTAAAAAGAAAAAACTGAAATATCACATGTACTTAAGTATTCAGACCCTTTGAAACAACACTTGAAATTTAGCTCAGACGCCTCCCATTTCTCTTGATCATTGCTGAGATGTTTCTACACCTTGATTGGAATCCACGTGTCGTACACTAAATTGATTGGACATCTTTTGGAAAGGCACGCTCTATAAAATTCAAAACAAATGGCCCCAAACGTTCCACATTCCTATTTCATTTGAATTAACAAGGCATTTGACATGGTGGGATTTTTAAGGCACAGCACAATTGTTCTATTAAAGAATGCAATTAATTTGTACACACATTTAAAAAAAAAAAATTATTTGACATCAAATTTAGTGTCTAAAACACCATATACATTGACACTTGCAAAACAAGTACAGTACAAATTACATGTTCAGGTTCTCAGAAAACTTTACGTGTTTCTTGGATTTTATCCACTTCATCAGGAGATAAGGGTGATTACCATTGAATATGAAAAAACATATATTGTTAACACATAATACTATATTCCACCCAATGTACATCTACGGTTCTTCAGTTTCAGTTTACCTGAATATGTCCAGAAAGAGACAAAAGAGGAAGGATAAATGCCAGAGGCTCAGGCAGGGAGGCACATGTAGGTGTGAGGATCCCACTAAGGTGATTGTGACAGAAGCCACTACAACAAGTCCGTGGGTTATCCCATATGCTAAATTGAATGAAGAGGCCATATGCTGTTGAAATCATCTGTAATGCATAATAAAATTAATTTTTTTGTCATTGTTTTCATTGTCTTTTTGTAATTATTTCTTAGAATATGTTTCCAAGTATATACATGTGAGCATGCATGCCCGCCTATATGGATGAAAAATATATTTGAAATATTTAAAAAATAGTCTTTCCAAATATATTGCCATATATTTGAAATGCTACAATGTTGGCCATATTCAATATATTTCTATATCTATATATATCATGTTGAAATGCATTTTTATTACAAAATATATGAATATTTTTAAATACTGTATGTCTTTAAAAATACAAATCTACATTTTTGGAATGCATTTACAAATATGTTAACATTACTTTTTTATATGTTAAAAAAAATCTGAAGAATATATTTAAAAAATATATTTTTTTTTTAAGTATATTCTTCAGATTTTTTTAAAAAAATATTTTTCATATATTTTGTAATAATATAAATATATAATGTATTTATTGAAATATATTGAATATGGTCAAAATTGTAGCATTTCAAATATATAGCAATATATTTGGGAAGAATATTTTTAAAAATATATTTCAAACATATTTTTCTTCCATGTGGGTGCACACACCCACAGCTATCCCTAAAAAAACAAAAAAAAACAAAAAAAAACAAAACCTATTACCACATGCATGCATGTGCGCATATACCAGCCCTCAAACACAGACATGTGCTACAATCCAAGTACCCATCTATTAGGTTTGCCCAATATACTTTATTAGCTCCTCTCAGAAGTATTTCAAAACCTTCCCCATATCTTTGATTGTAGCACATGTATTTGTGGGCTAGTATATGCGCACAAGCATGCATGTGGTAATATGTTTTTTAGTCTTAGCATCCTACGTTAGGAGGGTGCTATTTATTTCAAAATCTATAACAGAGACAATCTATGAAAATATCAAGTTATGCCTGCAATACTGACTTACATAAATATGTGGACTATGACAGGGCACGTTGTCCATGTTAATGTTGATATTTGAAAGAATATAAATAATACAAGGCCTTAGCGATATTTTATCAGGACAAATAACACAGGCACCAAAAGAGCTTTAAATACCCAACTAGGGCCGGGCACAAGAATCATGCCTAGAGCACAGCATCTCTATGTGTGTGTGTGTGGGGAAGGGGGGTGCTGGTAGCTCCAGCAGCTCCCTTCTCCCTCCCTCTAACTGACAGAAGCAATTGCAGTGTGGGGTGGGGGGCTTGGGGGAGGTGCACAGTTACCCATTTTTGCTGCGGGAACTAGATGATCTACTTAAGCAGTTGCCTACCGGGCACTTTTACCCCCTTCCTGCCCAGGCCAATTTTCAGCTTTCAGAGCTGTCGCACTTTGGATGACAATTGCGCAGTCATGCAACAATGTACCCATACAAACGTTTTATAATTTTTTGAGACAGAGCTTTCTTTTGGTGGTAGTTAATCACCACTGGGTTTTTTTTTTTTTGCTAAACAAACTAAAAAAAGACTGAAAATTTTGGAAAAAAAAGTTTTTTCTTAGTTTCTGTTATAAAATTTTGTAAATAAGTAATTTTTCTCGTTCACTGATGTAAGCTAATGAGGCACTGATAGGCTGCAGTGATGGGCACTGATGAGGAGGCACTGATGGGCATTGACAGGCATCACTGATGGGCACTGAAAGGCAGCACTCATATATAGCACTGATAGGCGGCACTGATGGGTGGCACTGACTGGCACTGATAGGCAGCACTGATTGGAACTGATAGGCGGCACTGAAAGGCAGCTTTGATGGGCACTATGTGGCATTAATGTGCACTTTTAGGCACTGATATGTGGTATTGATGGGCACAGGTTTGTGCCATTGATGGACACTTACAGGTGGCACTGATGGGGCTACACTGATCATCAGGGCACTGATCATCAGTGCCCTGATGATCAGTGTAGATGTTCCCTCTGAGGAATGCCGATTACTGGCTCTCCTCTCCTCACGTGCTGTCATTGTGTAAACAGCATTACCTTGTTTACATGTGATCAGTTGTGATTGGACACAGCTGATCACATGACAGAGCCTGTGTCATTGGCTCTTTACTCTGATCAGTGATGCGCTGTGTCCCAGGGACACAGTGCACCACCAATCGCACCCGAGGGCACACATGCGCAGTTAGAGTGGGAGGACGTCATATGACGTCCTCCCAGAACAAGAGAACATCTGCCCGCCCGTCATTTCCTTATATAGCGGGCAGGAGGCGGTTAAAGTGATTGTAAAGGTTACTTTTTTTTTATTAAAATAATATATACCTGCTCTGTTGTAAAAGTACAGCACAGAGCAGCCCTGAACATCCTATTCAGGGGTCCCCTGCTGTCACTGTCTGCTCCTCTTCTGTGTCTGCCCCCATAGCAAACCACTTCCTAAGTGAGAAGACATGGGGGCTCACTCCTCAGCTGGGCTGTGTGTGCTCATGGACACGTGCAGTGTGGCTCAGCCCTGCCCCCGTTGCTTCCTCACAGGATTTGATTAATGGCAGTAGCAGCCAGTAGTTCCCTCTGCTGCCTCTGTGTCCTGTGAGGAGAGGAACACATACCAGTGCTACAGAAGACGGGCACAGTGCTGGATCAAGATAGCACTCAGGTAAGTATTTAGGGAGGTAAGGGGGGCGACACAAGTGCTGGAACATTTTACCAAAATGCATAGGTAAAAAAATCTCTTGGCTTTATAACCACTTTAATAATCATGAAATGAAATAAACAATAATAGCCAGAAAAGAAACACGGATAGGGCAATTTATAATAACCACTTATATTGGTGGTCAGTGTAGGCAGAAGATCAATCTACCATTGCTCACTCTCAAGAAACCCCCTAACAAGCCCTGGAGGAACCCTGACTAATTAAACCTGGTTTAGCAGATGAGGAGTTAATTTATTTCATTAGCTTGTTAAAAATATATGCAACAATTTAATAGACACTAAATGTCCCTGCAGGAACTGGGTTGATCTGGTAATACTGGTTAAATGTAAAAATGCAGCAAGAGTACATTCAAGGTTTATAATGATATATCAGCCACGCCTAAAATGATCATGAGGTAGTTTTCCTTACTAAGTGCTGCAGGTACAGGTACAGATATTTATAGCTTTATCAAGTTCATCTTTCCATGTCCCTAGGCAAGGTGTTCTGGGAGAATTAATCCTTAGATTGTTGTTTGTAAAATTTTGATTTATAAAAGTGCACATGGCAACAGATAAAAAATATTTATTGTTATGAGACCTAGATTGTAAGCTCTAACGAGCAGGGCCCTCTGTTTCCTCTTGTACCAAATTGTATTGTAACTGTAATGTCTACCTTCATTTTGTAAAGCGCTGTGCAAACTGTTGACGCTTTATAAATCCTGTATAATAATAATAATAAAAAAAGGAGTGCATGCAACAGTAATGTAGCGCTATTAACCTATTACAAAGATTTTTACTTGAGACAAAAAAGATGTAAGGGATACCAGTAATGTTTTAAAGATCCAATACGTAAGTTCTCAAATTTTTAACTTACTGCCCACATTATGTATGTGTCTGGTGCCAAAGAGGGTGGGTGTAATGCCCACATGCGGCACAAATATATCTATTGGCAGCTGAGTTTTTTTTTTTTTTTTTTTTTTAATAAAATCTTTTTATTGATTTTTGCAAGAGACAAGATACAAAAGAGAGCCCCTGGCTATTCCCCGGCTCAATATAACACAATCACAACATAACCAAAATAACGCAAAAACAAACTACTATTGTACTCAAAATCCATGACTATAGCTACCTCGGAAAGATGACACACAAGGATGGCTAATGACCATAACAGTCTTATATCCCAAGAGAACGAAGGTAATTATGGGGGGACAATGCACCACAGGTCTTCAGTAAAAATGATCACATAATCTCTGATATGGGAGCAGTCTTAGAGGGTCATTAAACCATGAGTTGTAATGTACAGCGCTGAGCGAACTGTTGAAGCTTTATAAATACTATATAATAATAATGAGTTAGATATTACATTCCCAAAGCAAAAACATTTCTGTCTGTTCTTCCTCCTGCACTGCATGAGCATTAGTAGTGGAGGACGCTTTCAACCAGATGTCCCATATTTTACGGAACTTTTTTGGAAACCCCCTAGATATGTCAGTTTGTATAATGGTATTACTGAGTTAATTATGACTTTCCAATATTTCAGTGACAGCAGCTTTCCATTTCAAAACTATAGCCATTCTGGCATAAAAGAGCAATAAGCCCAACAATGTTCTAGTGGCCCTGGTGAATGCTAATGCACCGACTAGGCTCAATAAGCAGACTTCCACTGATAGAGGGCAGCTGAGGTTTCTGTGCTGTGAGCACGCTCATTTCATGGTCCCAGCGAAACGACCAAGCTGTGAAAAACACCTCCTGGTCTCAAGTAATGATAGAGAGCTGGCAAGGCCTGGTTCTGATCATATGATCACTTTGACAGCCAATCACAGCAAGCACATGGTCGGGCAGTCCTTCTTGCCACCTAGAACCCTGCCAGTTGCCCTCCAGGGGATTTATCCCCTTTCCTGACCAGGCCATTTTGTGCAATACGGTGCTGCGTTACTTTAACTGACAATTGCGTGGTCATGCAATGCTGTACATAAATGAAATTTATCAAATTTTTTTCCCACAAGTAGAGCTTTCTTTTGGTGGTATTTGATCACCTATGTGGTTTTTAATTTTTTATGCTATAATGAAAAAAACCTGACAATTTTGGAAAAAAAGCTATATTTTTGACTTTTTTGCTGTAAAACATATCCAATAAAATTTTTTTAAAAAAATCAAATTTTGTCATAAATTTAGGCCAAAATATATTCTGTTACATATTTTTGTTAAAAAAATTCCCAATAAGTGTATAATAATTGGTTTACGTGAACGTTATAGCGTCTACAAATGGCAGTATATTTATTGAAATTTAATTTTTTTTTAATACTAGTAATGGCGGCAATCAGCGACTGTGGTGGGCATTCTGACACTGGGGGGAACTGACTAACTGCCACTGACATCCCCAGTGACACTAATACAGTGATCAGTGCTAATAAAAAGCACTGACACTGTACTAATGACAGTGGGCAGAACGGGGTTAACATCTGGGTCGATCAGATTTTTGTGTTTTACATTGTGTCCTGTGTGCTATTTTACTTGGGAGACATGCTCATGCTGTGCGGAGGGATACAAAGCAGCATGTCCATGCTGACAGTAGAGAGATCTGTGTTGTTTACACACAGATCTCTCCCCTCTCAGCCCTGCCAACGATCCCGGCCCTGAATCGCTGGCCAGGACCCGGAGATCGACATCTCCAGCAACCAATAGCTGCGCGGGTATGGCGGTGCACACGTGTACCCCCTACCCGGAGATGCAAATTACGTACTGTAAATATAAGTGGTTTTGCACAGCTATGTCACCCTGCAGTAGTACTTCAAGAGGTTCTTAAAGAGACGCTGGGGCTGGGTGGGAAGGGGTTAATTTCATTTGTTGTTCTTGCCATAAATGGATAGATGTTTGCTTGAGAGCAGAAGACAGTAAGAAATCTGCCTGCTGTCAAAATTTCCACTGTGAGGTACCTTGTGACTCAGCAAATGGACCCTTAGGTTTGTAGGAGGTGGGGTGCGATTTGGGTCCTTGATGGGGGTCTGAAAACGTGGTATGTTGGTAAATGGTGGGACCCATCTCAGGTATGGAGTCCTCTGGATGGTCTTTTTAAGTTTAGACTGACCGGCGAGGTAAGGTTGATGGGGGTCTGTGTTCAGTTAGGATAGTCCCTGAGTCGGTGTTTAGCGGCTGGGGATAGAATCTAGCTTATTGGTACCACGGACTCCGAAATGGTGTGAGGAGGTCGTCATCAAGTATCCGCAACTGTTCTTGGAGCTAGATTGTTATGCCGGTGAATGTTTGTTTTGTTTGTTATTTATGGTTTCGTTTAATAAAGGGGCCGATTCGGCCATTGAATCCATTTGGGGTGTTGGTGTCGTTATTTAAGGAAACATAGGAAATAGAAATGGGGGGCAGTTTAGAGTGGGCATAGGGAACAGGTGTATCTGAACTACCATAGTCATGTATTTTTGACCATCCATTCCTGAGATGTAAACAGCCCCATGACACAGCACCACCAAGCAGATGGCTCCACTTTCACTGTTACAGTTTTACACTGTAAAAAGAATACAGTAGTGTACTCTCTCCATCCACTGCCTGCTGATTTGACAATGAAATAGCAGCAGCAGACTCATGGGGTGATCTTTCTATTCACTCTGCTCTCTTCTATAATCATGTTACAGTAAAGTAACAGCAGCAGACTCCATTGGGTCATCATTCCATTCACTCTGCTCTCTTCTACAATCACGTTACCTGTCATATTTGCCTGGTTGGCTCCCAGTTCTGCCAGCCCTCTCACAGTCCGAGTGTTGCTGTAGAAAACATTACAAAATGCTGGTAGCAAAAAAAAAATGTGGGTACTTACACAAGCTACATTTAAAGAAACATTTATTGATATATATGAATGTTTTATTGATACAAAACTGCAATCATTTGTCTATTTTATTAATACATTTATAAATCTTTACACACTGGATTCACACATTTTTCCAACTGAATCCAATTAGAAAAATGAGTGAATTGATAGCTGTATGAATCTTGTGTGAAAACATTTATAAATAGACCTTCAAGTATTTAAAAATACATTTAATGATTTTAATTGATAGATAACGTGATTGGCTTTAACTAGAAGCCCAAATAACCAGGCTGAAACTGTTATATTTTAAACATATTTTAAGAATTAACTCACTGGAAAAGACAATTATCCTTGGAAAAGTTAAAGGGAAAATAATAAGAGGATGACCATCAATAAGATGTATGGACAGGAATGGCACCCTTATCATGAAAATCACAATAAATGCACCTTTATAAATGTATATCTACAAACAGATACTTATAGATAATTGCAGGCATTTTATTTTTTGCATACCTTATTTTTCTTTTTCTCCCCATTCTTCTTACGATTGCCATTTTTACTATGAGTAGATGAATCCATCTCCCTTTACTTTCTAG